AAACGTTTGGAAATGTACTAAGTCCACGGTCCGACTGAAAATGCTCATGGACACTATGGGCTCCAGGCAAGTTGGGTTGCTTAGGTCCCCCTGACAACGCGACCAAGTTGTCAAAACATGGTCAAAAACACTTGTAAACTAGTGTTTATGCATACACATACTCTTCTATGGAGAAGTGATACCTGCTAAAAGCCCAGCCCCTTAAAACTGAATAAAAATAATTTTCTCTTAATGTAAACTTTCGAACAGGTCCCTTGGGAAGAATGGAAGAGCAAGCGCGTTGGACAAGCAATCCATGATTTTGTGTTGTTGAGACGAAAACAGTTGTTGTTGGTAGTGATGCTGTGAAGATTTTTCATAAGATTTAATCCACCTTCCCGACCAACAAAACGATAGTTTAAGTTACATGTTTTATTGGCCTTTATCAGCAAATGAGCACATTAACTATAGGCGGGACCATCTACCACCCTAAAGTTTGATATTATGAGGATTAATGAACGACACATTGCACGATGTATCTCTCCTTCGAACCGACTGCGACCAACTGGCTTTGTCGGCGACTCTTCAGCTCCAGATCACGGTTCTCCGCCTTGCGGAGTGCCTGCTACAGGCAAGTATGCCGCTCCAGGGTGACACGACACACAAACACCGTACATTTCTACTGATTCATCATCCTCTGCTGCTCTCTCCGATACCTCTTTTTATCTACTTTTCCTCTGGTCAAGTGCAGCTCCTCTTTTCTCTCCATTTTTCTACCTTGGCCTTGGCAAACGGCGAGTCGCATGCTTTCATTTCGAGTCGTTTCTTCCAACATATTCCATATCCATAATTTCCCGACTGTATATGATTCTAAAATATGCCTTCATATGACTCGTTCTCATATAATTTCGGGGGATCATTGAGTGTAGGGATTACGTTTCTTTTCTTTTAAATTATCCACCAAAATTTACTTATTACTAATAAACCCTCAGTAGTACTATATATGCTTCCTAATTTAAATAACTATTTTGTTTGTTTCCGTAGTATCATTTTAAGAGTATTATTAATTCTAAATAAAAATTATTTTTTATGGTTCGCCTAATGCTAGTTAGGGGTTGATACTAAAATCCTTTCTAAGTGAAATGCCTTTGTCCCAATATCCGTCAAATTTCACTTATTGGTGGTTCCTAATTGCTTTTCTTGTCCAGGACAGATTACACTCACAAACTTGCCTTGGCATCAACAGCAAATCAAATAAGATTTGAAACGAAGTCGTTCTTATCGTGGCCACATCGATGTTTCATTCATAAATATTGTTCATCGTACAAACCTGAGAGATCTGTAGCTCAGATATCAGCATTAACTGCCAACAAACTTAGAATTTTTCGAAGAAAAGTTCGCTTTCGAGGAATCTCTTGTTTCATAATTGTTGAGCTTACCTACATTTCGAGCAAAAGTGTTGGGTGAAGAGATTCGAAGGTCGGTTGCACCAGAAGACGACGGCGGATTCCTCTTGACCAGATGTCTATTGGCTTTACTTGAAGATTCATGCTGTCGCTGTTTCCGAGGTAACCTCCTTCGATTCCGGTAAAAGGGGCTAAGCTTTCGTCCGTCGAAAACTTGTAAGCTTGAATTTTTTGTGACGATGCTACCTTGCTCTGATGATGTCCGTCATAAGACGGACGAAAACTTAGCACCTTTTCACCGGAATCGAAGGAGATTACTTTGGAAACAGCAACAGCATGAATGTTCCAGTAAAGCCAATCGACAGCTGGTCAAGAGGAATCCGCCATCTTCTTGCGGAACCGACCTTCAAATCTCTTTACCCAACACTTTCACTCGAAATAAAAGTAAGCTAAATAATTGGAATTTTTCAATAATTAGTTTTAGGAGACTGCCAGTAGATCTGATATTTCATTTTAAGGTGATGAATGGTTGGTATTTGAATTTTCCCACAATCATATGAGCAGACCTCATGATTTCATTTAATTTCAAGTAGCCTTGCGTCCAAAAGGATATTCTTATTAAGGAAGACTTTATCACCTTAACATTAAATACGGTGAATATTAGTATCATATCAGATCAACTGGTAGCCTTTACAACCTACTTATTAAACGAAATATAAGTAATTTAGTCGATTTCCAAAAGAAAGCTATAACCTGACTTCGTCGATAATTCCGCAGCATAATTGGGATATGGGAAAGACTTATGCCCAATTGAAATTCTCTTAAGGTCTGTTGCCGAAAGGCATTCGTGGCAACGTGGCGTAGAGGATAGTATTTCGAGACTATACGCTGCATTACTACAAACAGGGTTCGAGTCCCGCTGAGGTTGCCGATGAGATCAAGGCATCGTCAACACTGCAGTCCACGCTGGATGAGAATACCTTTTGGGTGGCAAGGCTAAGCTAAATTCCATTTGAGCATGAAGCCTAGTGATATTGTTTTGGGCATAATCAACTATCAGACCTTCATCACCTCAAACGATATAGAGTGAATACAACTCTGGTGGTCTATTCGGAACGAAAACATGATATTTGCTTAAACGACACTCTTATTCATGTACTTTTGGAGGAGCCTGACTTGCCATGAATTTCACATTTGACCTGTGATTCACAAGCATTCGTGGCCTTGTTGTGTGGAATGGTGGCCTCACCATGCTACTCCCGACCCGGTATCGAATCCCGTTGGGTGTGATCATGAGATCTAGGCCCTGGATGGCATAGATATCTGGTGAAATAAATTCCATGCATTCTGAGGCCTACTCATTTGGTTGTTAAAAAGCGTATCTATTAGTTCATAAATCTAGAACAACGTATATTCTCGAAGCCTACTTATGCCGAAGTATAAGTTAAAATTTGCATATATTTTGGTCTCAGATTGAAGCGATTGGGCTTTCTAGATTCTTGGTGTATTATACGAGTAAAGCCTGATATTGAGGGCCTGTAATGCCTTTTAATTTCCCGTTTAAGATGAAAAAACTAAATATTTTTTATTGTGTAAATTTATCTTGGGGTCTTTTCAATCATTTATTTCAACGAAATAACGATGCATCTACGTGTTTTCTATTTCTAAAGCATCGAATAGAAATATTTTAATATTGACGAATTAAACTCCTTATTTCTTTGCCCAATAATAGCAAAGTAAAAATCAGCTTGCGTTAGGCAAAAACAATTTTGGTGTGATCTGGATTAAAAAGTATTGGGCAAAATGTGGTCAATTGGTTACGGAAAAACAGAGTTTGGTTGTCTCTGGCAAGTCCTTTGAGTTTATGCTCAAGTGGATGGACGAAGTTCACATATCAATTCCTCCATAAAGACATACTCCTCGAAGATAGACAGTACCTTCTACCTTAATTCGGCAACCTCGATTGGATTCCAAACTGAACAGAGGGCATCGAGCAAAGAAATGGCATAACGTAATATTAACAGATGCCAGTAATCACGACCATTACCAATTAACGTTTCATGATAGAATTGTTTTTTGTCTAGACAAACAGGGATTGAATC